ATAACAATCCAAATAATATACCAAATAACATCCTAGTTAATGTACCTATTAATATATCAGTTAATATACCTATTAATTACCAGTTAATATATTAGTTAATATACCAAATAATATCCCTAATATTGTACTAAAATTAATACTATTTGTCAAAAATTTTACTATTAAACTAAAGCTAAAATATATATAATAAATATAAACTATACTAATAAAATATACTAATAAAATTTTTTAAACTATACTAATAAAATCTACTAATTTTCTTTTTGAAAAATTTTGCTTCTCAAAAATAAAAATTCAAAAATTATAAAAGAACTATGTAGTGCAGATGCTGCAATTATGACCCATTAGCAGAGTTTGCAAGTTCATTAGCAGATATTAAATCTACAACTATTGGTAATAGTCACAGATCATTATTACTCTGCTACAATTGATAATATATAATAATTTTTAATTGTTTTATTTTTGATTGTTACAATTATTATATTTAGATAATTATTTTCAAAAGTATAAATTTGTATAATTTGAACATAAAAGTAGATTTTAAAATTTATTATTAAATTTCAAAGAGCAAAGGTCATATATCAAATGCTATATTTTTTGGTATATCTTCAAATAGAATAATAACTAGTAACAATATGAGATTATTGGTATAAATAATAAAGAAATAAGACGATAAGTAATAAATATTTACTATTTGTTTATTAATACTTATTTTATCCTCACTAGCTACTTTATTTTCATTAATACGGCTTGCATTATTTACATTTTCTTTTATATTTGTCAAAAAAATATCTGTCATATTAACTATTTCTTCAAACTCAACACTGCTTAGATCTATATGATTATCAAGCATAGCTACAGTATTTTGTATAGAATATTAGCTTTTTTGCCCATTGTTTTGTCTTGTTCATTTTTTCTTACTTACAATATTGCATCTCTAATATTTCATCCAAATCAGCTTCTATAAGAGATGTTGCACTTATATTATTGATTAAATATTTGTAATTCATTTTAGCATTTTTAAGGTAAAGTTATACTGATTAATATTGTTTTATGTTATTTATAGTATTCTTTTTTTTTTGTTTTGTTTAACATACGATATATTTATATATCGCTTTTGTATTTTTATTAAAATATGTGATGTATAATGATATTGTATATTATATTATTTTTAAGATGCGATATAGTTATGTATGCTTGTTTTTTTATTATATTTCAGGCATTAATGCATCTGTTATATTTTGCATTTAGTGCTTTGAAATATAAGCTATATGATCATATTGTTAGCAGGAGTAGCTTTATGATAACAATAAGTAGTTCATAGTTCTTTTTTGTTTTGTATATTACTATTACTAATTATATTATTTATTTATTTCTACAACATGATAAATCAAGTATTATATAATTCTTTACAATGAAATACCATAATATGCTAAACTGAATTAATTTTTTTTATGCCTTAGATCACAAATTCTGTAGCTAAACTATTTAGAAAATTTATTGGTAATGCTCTTGAATATGTGATAAATTACTAATCACGTTAATCAGAATTGGCAATGGATTATAATCAGTTCTGAAAGAATATCAACGAACATTGTCATTAGGCTGTGAATATATTTTATTGGTATTTACTAGACTATGTTTTGGTTCATTAGCCAATTCTATATTTACTCAAAGGGTTTTGGGTCAGGATTGATTGAAGCATATTGGTATTGATAAAATGCATTCAAAACAATTCAACAAAATTTTATAAACTTGACATATAGCCTTAATTCATATAGGAAAATTCTAAAAAATTTGGGTCAGAATATATCAGATCCCAGTTAACTGGACTAAAAATAACCAATTTTGTCTAATATTACTAAATATTTTACTAATAGATTTATAGCCTATTTGATCCTAGCAAATAGATAGTTTATCCTCTAGTATTTCTTAATATCTGTTTAGTTTAGATAAAACTGATCCAGAATTTTGATAATAGTCTATAAAAGCTGTATAGATCTGTTAATTTAGACAGTTTCAATCCTATATAAAATATATGCTAAATTATATAATAAAGTTTCTTAATCATTAATATTTAATTATATTTAAGTTAATTGTTATTAATTTTGACTTAAGTTTGATATAATTCTGCCCAGAATTATAGTTAATATAAGATATTACAAATAACAAAATTG